GTTTTTCTTCAGAAAAATGTCACATTTTTCACTTCCTTAAATATTTTTAACATCTGACTAAAGTATTTTTCAAAGGAAATCTGCAAGCTTAATCGGCTATGGAAGTGACAGTAATAGGGCAGGAATTGCAGATAGGGACTGCACAACATGATGACAAGCGATCAAGTTATTAACAAGGCTAATGGACACTTGACAGGATGGAAGCAGCCTGGGATGAAACTGTACATCTTCTGTGGCTGGTTTTACAGTTATGGTATCAATAGTGATACTGAGACAAGACAATAAAGACTATTTGTTGATGTGTTAATCAGGGCTGGGTCCGAGCTGACTGACAAACAAGCCAAACCATCAATCAGTTTTTAATACTCTTCTATTCCTGTAATTGGGATTGGGAAAAGGCTCTTAGGTTTTGATATCATATTTCGTCATTCATATTATAATTGTATCGTTATGATAAGGCAGGATGAGCACTGACATTTACGTCTTTCAAGGTCTTGAAGTTATCAAGCTTAAAGGACAATATTTTGTAGGAGAAATGGTTTCCTCTTTGCATATCTCTAGTATAGTTTCCAATTTTACCTCCAAAATAGTTTCCCATTCAGCCTCCACCATACTTTCCCATTTTACCTCCACCATACTTTCCCATTTTACCTCCAACAGTTTCCCATTTTACCTCCAACATATACTGAACCGCAAAAGAAACGCAAGTTGATTTAGAAATGTCAATATTTCTGAATCTGTGGAACAAACAATCTTAACACTACGAAAAACAACAGACAAGTGATTGTTGAAGAAATGAGTCGTGATCTCTGGTGAAAACAACACTCAAGTTTACTGTAAAAGCATATGTTATCACTCCACCCTCACACACCAAAAATGTCACGAAACAGTGTGTCAATCAGTAGCGCATGTGACCACCATTGGCTGCAATGCAGGCAGCACAACGACGTCTCATCGAGTCAACAAGTGTCTGAAAGAAGGCTTGGGGAATTTGATTCCATTCCCTGACCAATATGGCTTCCAAATCTCTAAGGTTTTGAGGTTGAGCAGCTGTCTGTATCCGTCTACCAATTTCATCCCACACATGCTCGATTGGTGCCATATCCGGGGACAGAGAGGGCCAGGGCAGTACAGCAATGTTGTTCCCTCAGAGGAAGTCCATAGAGACCCGTGCAGTGTGAGAACGAGCATTGTCCTGCTGGAGCGTCTGGAGCTGAGGTTGGGCCTGGAAGAAGCGGTACAGCGTGGTGTTGAAAGACCTGGTCTCTGTAGACTACAGCAGAAACTAGCGTGTTCTGTGGTAGCTGAAGCCACCCCATACCATGAGTCTCCACCTCCCCAGTGGTTAGCTTCCACAACACAACAGTTGGCGTAGCGTTCATTACGTCGTCTCCATACATGTAATCGGCCATCGGCGTGGGACAAGTTGAATCTGGACTCATCAGAAAACAACACTTGTTGCCATTGTTGACGTCGCCAACGCTGGTGTTGTTGCGCCCACTGTAAACGATTTTGGCGGTGGCGTTGCATCAGAATCGGTCCGGATGTAAGGGCGGCGACATCTGATCCCTGCTGCCTTCAGGACGGCGACGAACAGTGTCTGCAGAGATGTGGCGTTGTGGCCCTTAAATGGTTGCAGCTGTCTGTGTTGCTTTCGTTGCTGTCGGTTACGCAGATGAGTAACCGGATGTGACCATATTGCGCTGGCGTTGTTACCCTGGGGCGTCCTGAGCGTGGTCGGTCTGGAACATTACCGGTTTGACAATACCTTGCGGATAGTCTTGTGATTGTTGTCACGTGACATCTGAAGTGCCTGGCCACTTTAGTTGGTGTGGATCCGGTCTCCAACATTCCAACGGCGATTCCTCGTTGCTGTTCAGTTAGACGTGGCATGTTTTCTCCACGTTGTCACAGTCAATTTTGTGTTCTATGGTGTTTTTTGAATGACCTGCCTTATAAAGCTTCAAATTGGAATGAAATGCACGCATTTTTGTGTGAAACACAAAAACTTCATGCAAAAAACACGAAAAAACATGAAAATGTTTGCTTTTGGGCGATATGGTCAAGAATCAGCGGCAACAACGGAAAAACTATCTTCGAATGCCTGGTTCTATAATGGTATACTTTATTGTCCTGAAAGGAATGCATTTGGAACGTATGTTATGAAAATAGTAACTTGCGTTTCTTTTGCGGTTCAGTATAGTTTCCCATTCAGCCTCCAACATAGTTTCCCATTCAGCCTCCAACACAGTGTTCAATTTCACCTCCAGTACAGTTTCCCATTCAACCTCCAACAGTTTCCCATTTTACCTCTAAAATAGTTCCCATTCAGTTTCCAACATAGTTTCCCATTCAACCTCCAACATAGTTTCCCATTTTACCTCAAAAATAGTTTCCCATTCAGCCTCCAACATAGTTTTCAATTTCACCTCCAGTATAGTTTCCCATTCCATCTCCATTCAAGTCAAATTTGGAATGACTGTACTAAGTTTGTTGCCTATCTGAAACATACATTCTCACCTGGAAGATATATTGAAATTAATCACATTAATCAGAATGGTGATGCCTTGGGGTACTGTAGCTCGACTATCCTGTGACAATTCCTGAAGGCTTGCAATCAGTAATCATTACACCTGTGAAATGACACATCGACATGTACCTTATCATAGAAATCTCTTGCTTTCTGAACAGTTAATGGTTGAATGAACCTTCTATGGAATCTTATTTGACTCAACTGACAAATTCGCAATTACACTTAGATACACCAATTAGTTGTTGCTGTCAATCAAATTATAAGGCTTGCAATCAGTAATCATTACACCTGTGAAATGACACATCGACATGTACCTTATCATAGAAATCTCTTGCTTTCCCATTCATCATATTAGTCACATGGAGATCCACATAAACCCAACCAACTGACTGACTGACTGACTGACTGAGTTTAGTTTTACGCCGCTTTTAGCAATATTCCAGCAATATCACGGCTGGGGACACCAGAAATGGGCTTAACACATTGTGCCCATGTGGGGAATCGAACCCGGGTCTTCGGCGTGACAAGCCAACACTTTCACCACTAGGCTACCCCACCGCCCCAAACCCAACCAACAACCAAAAGTATATTTTCACACCAAATGTGTATCTTGAACCCAATCTATTGAATATTACACCAGCACACCTTGTCTTTCAACATACATTCCAATTCAATATTCCAAACATGGTTCCCATTTTACCTCCAAAATGGTTTCCCATTCAGCCTCCAACGTAGTTTCCCATTTACCCAACCAACTGACTGACTGACTGACTGACTGAGTTTAGTTTTACGCCGCTTTTAGCAATATTCCAGCAATATCACGGCTGGGGACACCAGAAATGGGCTTAACACATTGTGCCCATGTGGGGAATCGAACCCGGGTCTTCGGCGTGACAAGCCAACACTTTCACCACTAGGCTACCCCACCGCCCCAAACCCAACCAACAACCAAAAGTATATTTTCACACCAAATGTGTATCTTGAACCCAATCTATTGAATATTACACCAGCACACCTTGTCTTTCAACATACATTCCAATTTTATATTCCAACATAGTTTCCCATTTTACCTCCAAAATAGTTTCCCATTCAACCTCCAACGTAGTTTCCCATTTTACCTCCAATATAGTTTCCCATTCAGCCTCCAACATAGTTTTCAATTTCACCTCCAATATAATTTCCCATTCCATCTCCAACATACTTTCCAATTTTACCTCCAACATAGTTTCCCATTTTACCTCCAGTACAGTTTCCCATTCTACCTCCAGTATAGTTTCCATTTTATTCTACCATAATTAGTTTCACATTCACCACCCTTTTCAAGTTCCCTGAACTATCCATCTCACCACCAGTACTAGTTCCTCACCTGAAAATCTTCCCCCCGTAAAGTTCCCATATTACAATCTATCCTCGGTCTGGTTTCCAAGTCTACCATCTACCCAAGCTCTGGTTTATCATTCTACTATCTACATGGAGCATTAGTTTCCCATTCTACCATCTACGAAAGTAGTAATTTCCCAATGTACCCAACTACCCACATAAACTTACTAATTCCAATTTCAACTGCTGAGTATGAATGCAGGCCTCTGCACCAATCATGAACAAAACACATCAAGAATCCCGTACACAAACCACCGATAACATTCTTTGTTGCTATTTAAAAATTAAGTCATTGCTACAAAGACCAAATCTCCTAAATTCCGAAAGTGTTCTTGGTAGTTACAAAGGAGGTGATCCGGCCAAGGCTGGGTTATAAACCTGCATCCATATAAAGCTCATTGATTTATTTCCAGCATATAAACCAAGCTCTCTGACGACAGCCTACATGATAGGCTTCCCTGGACACCGTACAGCTGTCCACATTCACACAAGTTCATTAGCGTCATCCAAGTAATGGAAATGATTCACAGCCTTTTTGTTTCAAGTCTGTGAAGAAAAAAATCTATCTACGCCTGGTGACGATTCTTAAGGACACCTTACTTCCACCGCCCCCCTTGCCTACATCGAAGCCACATTAATCTGTGATAATGGACCAGTTTGGACATAAAAAACACTGCAATGTGTTGTTCATTCTCCGCAAATTTAATTCCTCTGTTGGATTTTGATGCTCCATTATGAGACGGATGGAGGTGGAGGATGATGAACCCGTACAATCTCCCCCAATTCTGAAGAGCACTTAAGATCTCATACAATGTTCGGAGACTCAATTTCAAAGATGACCCACCAATTACTCTTACAATTAAGTTGCGAATCAAATTCAGAATGTTTGGTGCTGAAAGCCTACATTTCCTGACCAGTGGCATAAAATACATTCATTACTTAAATTGTAATTCCATGAAAAAATAATGTACCCCGGTAGTCCATGTAAGAATATGATGGCGCCACCTGTATGTTCTTGTCTGATCACTTCAGACTTCACTTCCTGGCTGAATTATGGGTGTAATGGGCGACCAGTGTGTGTTTTGTGTCATGTGTGTTGTGTGTGTATGGAGTGTGCATGTTGGTTGTAGTTGGTGTATGGTGTGTCTGGTGGGTGTGGTGGGTCCATTGTTGGTGTGGTAGTCCATGGTGGGTGTGATGGATCCATGGAGGGTGTGGTGGCCCATGGTGGGTATGGTGGTCCATGGTGGGTGTGTTGGTCCATGGAGGTTGTGATGGATCCATGGTGGGTGTGATGGATCCATGGAGGGTGTGGTAGTCCATGGTGGGTCTGGTAGTCCAGTGTGGGTGTGATGGATCCATGGAGGGTGTGGTGGTCCATGGTGGGTGTGGTGGTCCATGGTAGGTGTGGTGGTCCATGGTAGGTGTGGTGGTCCAGAGTAGCTGTGATGGATACATGGAGGGTGTGGTGGTCCATGGTGACACGGTGTGGTGGTCCATGGTAGGTGTGGTGGTCCATGGTGCGTGTGATGGATCCATGGAGGGTGTGGTGGTCCATGGTGGGTGTGGTGGTCCATGGTAGGTGTGATGGATCCATAGTGGGTGTGGTGGTCCATGGAGGGTGTAATGGTCCATGGAGGGTGTGGTGGTCCATGGAGGGTGTGGTGGATCCATGGAGGGTGTGGTGGTCCATGGTGGGTGTGGTGCGGTGGTCCATGGAGGGTGTGGTGGTCCATGGAGGGTGTGGTGGTCCATGGAGGGTATGGTGGTCCATGGAGGGTATGGTGGTCCATGGTGGGTGTGGTGGTCCATGGTGCATATGATGGGTCCAGGGGGTAGTGAGTCCACGGTGGGTGCAAGTTGGAAGTGTGGTGTTTAATCAGTGTGGTATGTTTTGTTGGTTGTGGAATGCTGTAAGGCCCTTCTCACATTATAATCACAAACAGCTCCCAGCATGTGCATGATTAAAAAGTGACCGATAAAGACACTGTTTGTAAATACCTGTCCTGGCAACTCGAGAAAGATAATTATTCACATCAGTCGCTCCTTGGTTCAAATTAACAAACTACCAAACTCCTGTCTATTCTCACTCATCAGAGCTTTAGTCAGGTTCCAAAGTTTGAAGTGCCATATTTGTGATCAGTTATTCAAGTTACTATGACAACAGCTGTAGCAACAAATATAATTTTTGAAAAAAAAACCAAAACCTAAAAGGAAACCATTTAGATCATGACATAAAATCATGCACAGTATTTTTAATAACTAATGGACACGATATATGAACGCAATACTCTTATCTGGTTAAAATCAATGTTTGCAAACAATACAAACAGACAGATGCTGTGCACACATACCATTTCTACTGGCCTCTAGTTATGTTTCTTCCCTTCTGAGCCTAAAATATCCCATAATATACATCCATAATATACACCCGTGAAGATCCAGGTTAGAATTGGTCTTCAGTAACACATGCTTGTCATGACAGGATTGGGTGGTCAGGCTAGCTTGACACATGTCATCGTACCCCAATAGTGCAGATCGATGCTCATGTTGTTGATCACTGGATTGTCTGGTCCAGACTCAATTATTTATAGGCTACTACCATATAGTTGGAATATTGCTGAGTGCTGTGTTAAACAACATACAAAAAACAAAAACAAAACTGCCCTTGCTGACATATATATCAAGTCACAATCATTAGATCCTGGCACCACAAAGGGACATCACTCTTCACACAAAATCTGCAAAATTATAGACTTTGTAAATTTCTTGCTACAGAAATTTATCAGCTGTAATGTTTATTAACTTTAATAAACTTGGCCAAACAGAAAACAAACAAACAGTGAGATAATATTAGTCACATGGAGATCCACATAAACCCAACCAACAACCAAAAGTATATTTTCACACCAAATGTGTATCTTGAACCCATTCTACTGAATATTACACCAGCACACCTTGTCTTTTTGTCCATGTTGAATATACAAACAGTGCTTTTGACCCAACTTGAGACTGCCAATCCATACACGGATTGTATTTACGTGATCGAATATTGATGTTGACTGCGTGTAAAATGGATACTTCTTGAAAAGCTCTCTTGACAATATTTGTTGTTGCTGCAAGCAATAATACTTATTGCCAGAATAGCTTGTTTTTACTTGTGAGTATTAGCACACGTCCACCTATCTATTTTCGTTAATTAAAAATTGCCAAAATTCCCGATTCTGTTTCAAGTAGCAAGGACTATATGCCCACAGTGGAAATATTGACGAAAGTTTACACAAACTTTGGGAAATAGTGACAGAAATTGCTGCACCAACAAGCACCTGTCTCATAATTGGCTCAAATTGTTTGTCTACTATTCCGATACTTACCAGATATCTCAATATTTGAAGTTGATCGACAATGTTCCTGCGTCGCTGCACGCTTATGCATAGGTAATGTTCTAAAAGTGTTTGAACTTTGCGACAACGGGAAAATGGTTGGTAATCTAATTTTGCGAGTCGATGCAAGCCATAATGGATAACTATTAACTAAACGTGTAAATAGTGCATGATGGGATAACACTGGCAGTTACAATGTTCCGAATGTTTGTTTGCTCATTGTGTGCATATTCACGAGAACAACCGCAGCTGGGCAGGATGTGATTCTCATGCATACTTGGATTAAATACTGCCCAATATTTTATGAGACATTGGATATAATGGTTATTTCAATACATTTTATGGATTTACGACACAGTTATTTGCAAAGATAAATTGGCATGTTTATCAATTTAGAAACAGAGCTTTGATGAACACTGCAACTCAACATGTGAACTCATATATTGTAGTGTTTTGTGGCTGGTTATGATGGAACATCAATTTTCTCATTAACAAATATGATGGAAACGTTATGAAGTGTTCCTACTTCAAAATTTTGATGGAAATTGTGTGAGTGATTGGTGATAATGGTGGGGCAGGACAGTCTAACCTTTCTTGTGAACACCTGATGTTTTCAGTGATCCATTCTTATAAATCTGTCTGGGGCGGTGGGGTAGCCTAATGGTTAAAGCGTTTGCTCGTCACACGAAGACCCGGGTTTGATTCCCCACATGGGTACAATGTGTGAAGCCCATTTCTGGTGTCCCCCGCCGTGATGTTGCTGGAATATTGCTAAAAGCGGCATAAAACCAAACTCAGTCAGTCAGTCAGTCAGTCAGTATAAATCTGTCTCTGATATTGACTATTGTTTGAGTGAGTGAGTTTAGTTTACAACGCTTTTAGCAATATTTCAGCAATATCACGGCAGGATACACCAGAATGGGCTTCATATGTTGTACCTACTCATGATGGGAATCAAACCCGGGCTTCGGCCTGACGAACCCTTTAACCACTAGGCTATACAAACATGAACAAATATGAAGAAATATTACATATGTAAATGATATATATTCAGATAAATGACTTTTCAGTTTTGTTAAAAATTGAAAACCTTCAAGGTCATGCTACCTCACACTTCAGAGTAATACAATTTTCACTTTCATTTTATGCCAAATTATATCTGTGTCCTTAGATTGTCAAGATTGTTATTCCCTGGCATTGAAATCCTTTTCATGATAGAGTTTAGTTTTATGCCGCTTTTAGCAATATTCCAGTAATATCATGGTGGGGGACACCAGAAATGGACTTCATACATTGTACCCATGTGGAGAATCGAAACCAGGTCTTCGGCATGATAAGCAAACACTTTAACCACTAGGCTACCCCACCACCCTTGATATCCTATATGGAATTAGTACATAGGTTTTAGTGTACAACAGTGAGTGAGTGAGTGAACTGGGTTCAATGCTGTTTGTAACAGTTTTTCAGTTACATAACTGCATGTCGGCATGACGTGGGCCATAAGCCTGAAAGGAAGTATGTCTCGAGTGTTTACCACTCTGATGAAACCAGTACACTTTGGTATGGTGCTGGCAGTCCTAGAAACATAATCAGGAAAAATCAGGTTTATATTATAGGTCTCTGGAATTCCTGAGATCTGCAGCTCTACACTGCCTTCCCAAACATTCATTATAGAAGTGAATGAGCGCTTGAGTAGGTGGTTGGTTCCTGGCAGGCAAAGTGGGAAAACAGGCATTGGTAGTTTCCAGATTTGGATTTTTCTATACCTCCTTATCTTTTTAAATTCAGATGTATTTTTCCATTGCATTCAACAATGAACTACATCTGTTAAATATTAAAGTCTTCAGTTCTTCCATATCTCAGTCATGAGCTAAGATAATTAACTTGAATTGGTGCAAACTTGGGAATTGCTTGTGTTGCTTGTCCTAATGTCTTTTGTACAAGAGTTCTGAGTTTTGTACTGATGCAAGTATTATTATGTTTTACAGATTAGAATGCAGCAGAGAGGGTTTCAGGTAATCCTGGCACAGTCAGGCTGGTAAGGCTCATCATCAGCTCAGGGCCCTTGCCCCCTCTACATGTAGCCCAGACAGCGAATGGGACTTCTCCCAGGAAACTCTACCAAGACTAGACTTGGGATAGCAAATCAACTCATATTTCATGTAGACTTGGGGTCCAAATATCAGTCACTGCAAACATCAACAACTGCTGTCACGTCACTGTAACAGGACACCGGAAACTGTACCCACGTGCAGAGTAGAACCTGGAGCTTCTGTATGGTGAACATCTACTTGACTACCCAACCTCCCTTAGTGTAACAACAGTCACTAACATGATGACATCTAGCTTCTCCACAGAATCATTCAGCACCACTTTTTTACAAAACATACCTCAGCTGCGTAGATCGATGCTCATGCTGTTGATCCCTGGATTGTCTGGTCCAGACTTGATTATTTATAGGCTGCCGCCATATATACTGGACAGAATAAGTTAGGAATATTGGTATTTTTATGATTGATATTTTATCAGTGTGTCAACGAGTAAATAGATTACTACTCATAATATCAAAATTTACACATATCCCTAACTATTTTTGTCCAGTATATTTGGAATATTGCTGAGTGTGTCTAAAACTCAACTCACACACTCACTATTTACAAAACCCAGCCAGTGGTTTAACCAGTGGAAGACATTCAAAATATCAGACTTGTATGCTGGGCAAGACATTCTGCTGCCACAGAGTCTCATTTCTTTCATTTTGAATTGGGCTGTAATAAGTAAAATGTTGATTGGGTGATGGAAAACAAATCTATAACACACCACATATGTCCACCTGTAGGATACACTGCTCAATCACAAATACTGTTTCTTTACCAAACCTCATCAAAAACATCACAGGTTGTCATATATACACTGAAATATTATTGTTTTCGAAACACAGGGTAAAGACACACATCTGTATATAATGTAAGCCAGGGAAACAAGGAGTACAATCTCAACATTTTAAGGTATGAGTGAGTGAGTATGGTTTTACGCCACTTCTAGCAATATTCCAGCAATATCACGGCGGGGGGATGCCAGAAATGGGCTTCACACATTGTACCCATGTGGGGAATCGAACCCCGATCTTCTACATGATGTAACCACTACTACCCCTATGACATGGCCAGGGGAGAGAAAATCCCCAACCTTCCATTCTCTGAGTGGACACCGGATCCACTGGACCAAGGAGGATATGAAAGGCATTATACGTTCTATACTTTAATCTGATGGTACCAGAGAAAACATGATGTGTGGGGAGGAGTCTGGTTGTAGGCAGCCAGGGTAAAAAGTTAATAATTTTGTAATAATTCATTTAATACATCCTTCAACTGATTCCAAGGTCCACAGC